CTCTCTCTCTCTCTCTCTCTCTGTGTGTGTGTGTGTGTGTGTGTGTGTGTGTGTGTGTGTGTGTGTGTGTGTGGTTTTTGTTTTTTGGTCGTGTCCCCCATCCCCCAAATACTTGCAGGTTATTTTGCACAGAGCAGAGTGCTGTGAAGTCCCAGAATCTTCCCTCCTCCCTTTTACACAATGCAAGTCTTAATTAAACACAGGAACACCCACGCCTCCCTTCCCACAGGACCCCTCTATCTGCCCCCACTGCCGAAATACCAGCCTTGTACGGCTAGGGAAAGCCTCATGTTGAACTTCCCAATTAGCAAGACACAGAGCAAAATAAAAAGACTCTAAAGAGCTGTTATCAGTCCTATTTTTGGATTCTTCCTTTTAGGCCTTACCCAGTAAATGTTTTGTTGGCTTTAGCCTGAATAAAATCTTGTGGGTCTAGAGACACAAGATTACAGGAACTATAGATCTTTAGAAGGGAGATTTGTGTTTCTCTGATTGATGATTTAGGATTAACACATTTCTTTGTGAAAGAAATAAAAGTTATGAATCAATTCGAACAGGGAATTTTTCCCCCTTTGTAAAAAACAATTTTTCATCAGTAACTTTTTCAGCGATTCTAAGCATTTCGGGGAAAATGCAATCATTTCCAGGTTGAGCAAATCAAAGGGAACTAGACAACAGCCTTGGATTTTTCTTTTCTGGTCAGACCAAGGGGGAGTGGGTGATTTATGAGTAGTGGAACCAGGGGATGCAAACGCTTGAGCTAGCTAGCCTAGGACAGGATGTGGGAAGTTTCAGAGAGGTGGTCAGCTTCCCTCAGGATGATAGGGTGACCATAAAGTGATGGAATCAGAGACAGAAGACATGAAATCATGAGAGAGAGAGAGAGAGAGAGTGAGAGAGAGAGAGAGAGAGAGAATTCTAGAGTCAGATGATGGAAAACCACCATAGAGCTATAGTATCACCAGGCTACCACAGAGATCTGTTTCACATGAAAGAAGTCTCAGACAGACAGATAAGGGACCTTCAGATGATACTTCTCTAGGTCTGAGGAATCCTGAGAATGCACAGGCCCCCAGGCCCCCAGGAAAACTCTGAAGATGGCAGATTCAGATATCCTCTGAGTGTTGCATCTCTGCAAGCTTGCCTTGGCCCCACCCCCCAATTACTTCCCTTCTAGGTCCACTGTTTCGTGAGGTAGGCCAGCAAGAATCCATCCATGAATTATCTCCCCTCTCGCACTCACGGGGGGACATTAAGCACGAACACACTGAAGAAAAAAGGTACAGATGGGTCTTTTATTGAACACTTGGAAATGTTCGCAAGGCTTTTGTTTTCTTTCTTCCATTCATGCCTGCAGGATCACTTGGATCTGCCAACTTCAGTTCCTAGAGGCTGAACCTGAAGGGCTCGGCCCACCCGAAGGCCCCGCTAGGGGGCGCACTCTGGCTGTGGCTCTGAGCGGAGCCCGACCAGGGTGCTGCTTGCTGGTGGGTGAGGGGTGCTGAGTGGCGGGACCCGGACAGCTGGGGGTCCCTCAGGCCTCAGGACAGACGCTTGAGTTGAGTCCTCCTCTGGCGCTCCACCCCATGCCCTCCTACCTCTCTGCTGGGGACCCCTCCACCCTGGACGCACACCCGGGGTCCTGAGGTCCGGTTGGCGATGGAAAGAAGAAAGCAGATGGCGGCGATTAGGGGGCTGAGAAGTTTCCCTCTGGGATTTGGAAACCTGGGTGGGGGAAGAGGAGCAGCAGATGGGATCCTCCTGCCAAGGGACTCGGGGTGAGGAGCCCACAATCCAGCCATTTGCTTCTCACTGGTGGGAGGGAAGCACGCCCTGCACTCTGAGCACAGACTTGAAGCAGCGACCTCCTTGCCCAGCTTTGTATTGGGATCAAACCTGGAGGAAAAAGACTCGGTGGCCGCCTGCCTGCGTGGAGGGGGTTGTGTGAGGGGGGGAGGGTTGTCGGTTTTGTCTCTAGTTCTCACTCCTTCACCCCCTCTCCTGCTGCTGATGGGGTAACAGAGTGGCGAAGTTTACAAATAGGGGTTATCCTATCAGTAATCACACCCACAAGTCCATACCTTGAGGGCTCGGTCGAGATCCACGAGCCGCTTCCAAAACAGGGGCGGGAAAAAAGCTCTCCCGGCTGAGCCCTAATGGGGGAAAACCACAGCTCAGGCGGAGGACACAGGCAAGGGGGAGGCAAACGCGAATGTGTCTTCCTAGGGAATCCAAGTTACTAGTACCTTTGGACTTCTCTAGGGCTGCTCCTTTGAAATCACATCAACAAACCGGATCCACAGAGGGAGCTCAGCAGCCTGGGGAGAACTGAAGCAAGGGTAGGAAGTGAAGGGTAAACTGGTGTGCGTGGTGGGGGGACAGAGAAGGTGAGGGCAAGTTCTAGGCAAGCAGATTATGTCACATTTCCTCCTATTACCAGACTTCCAGGAGGAAAAACCTCGATTTGTGCATAAAATGCATAGTCAGAAGTGGATAAGACTGTGAAAGCAGCTTTTGAGAAGGTTAACCTTTACTGGTTGGAGTTAAGGGGGGTTGGGGAGGCAAATATTTCTGTTTGTGCCCTCCGGCTCTTCCCAGCACCGGCTGTCAATCGTGAGGCTTGTTATCCTCACAAGGCTTCAGTTTGTTTGCTTGATCTCAGCAAGGTTTTCTTCCACAAGTAGAACTATAATTGCTATAATTCTACTGTATCATTTGGATCATTGCAGTATTGTTGTTTTCTCTCCCTCTTTCTCTCCTCCTAACACTGCAATAACGCGCTCCAGTGTTAAATTAGCAGGTTGCGGAAGACCATAAATGAATGAAAGTTTGTTAAAAAAAAAAAGGAAGAAGAAATTAAATAAATAAAGCAGCAAAATGACTTGGCAAAGGGGATAACACATCACAGAGAATCCTTGCGTGTAATCAGGACTTATTGTCTTCCCTTCCAATGGCTTCCAAATTGGTCGACAGACTCCAATGAAGTTTATTTCTATTGTTTAAATATATGTTTTGAAGAGGTTGAGCATAATTTAAGGGGACCTGAGCCATCCGGTGCTACTGGAAGCCCATTACAGCTTTATTTATCTATGTGTATATTGCACAATAAATGAAAACATATCAAATGTAAAGTGTGTGAGGTGAACTCTCCTCCAAACATCCCCCCCCATAAAGACATCTAACTGCCACCCCCTTATCATGGATTTCTTGAAAATATAATTTTGAAACTACAATGTAGAATTAGCTCTCTTGCCACAGAAAGAAAGGGGTCTCTTCCATTCACCTCCTCCAGTTGTGGGGACAAACCCCATTTTTCATCATAAACAACAGATCTGAACATGTCTGACTCTCGCTTCCAGTCATTATTATCATTTTTATTTTAGTGGTGGAGTTTAAAAACAGATGAGCCAGAAAATGTTGTTTTTCAAGTAGCTTGGGAAAACCAAACCAGCAGACCAGACCCCAGAGATTAAAAGCCAGGAGTGGTTACTAGAAACATACAAAGACTTTTTTTCTAAGTTACCACTAAAATGAAATTACTTTTTATTAGTGGGTAAAGGAAGTGTAAAAGTGGGGTGAAAAAAAAAAGAGAAGTATCATTTTGCTGGCAGAGTGAATAGTAAACTATACGCCCCTTTATTCATAGTCCACAGTCAAATTTCTAAAAGGCTGTGTGCTCAACGCATGGATTAAATTCTTCCTAGATATTAGAAGCAACATTTCATTTTCTAAAACTGACATAAGGATAGCACATTTTAAGCCCACATTCGAACTAGATTCTGCGGAGGCACTATTAGACTTTGCCACCCCATCCAGCGCCTTAGGAAAGTTTCCTGTCATTTTTTTTTTCCTAATTAATCTGTGGGAAATGGAATCGGTTGTAGATTCTGAAGTTGGGTATTCAATTGTGACAAACCTCAGGGTCGCTAAGTGTAGAGAAAAGTAGTTCAGCCCCTCCTCCCAAAGTTGGAGAGATGTGCCTCCTTCGCTTGGGAAGACTGATTAGGAAATATTAAAAATAAAAAAAAAACAGAACAAAGAACACTAGAGTTTTCACACAGGTCTTAAAAAACCTTCTTTATATTCCATTAATAGAATTAGATTTAATTCCAAGGATCATTAAGTCAGAATCAGAAATTCTATGTTAACCTCCCTCTTTACAGTGGGTGATTAAAATTAGAATACACCCCCATCAGAAAGTCCGACTTCTTTTAAAAGAAGAACAGCTGCAGGGGGGGGGGAGGGGATGGAGGCAAAGAAGTCTTCCACCCAGAGTCTGAAACCCCTTAGGGCGTTCAGAAATGATTTGTACATTTGTGACCCTTTTTATTTAACACGATCTTTATTGGATTTATTTTCATCCCACTCCCTGCGTGTGCGGAGTCCACTCTGAAGCCACAGAGCCACCGACAGCCAGGTCTTACAGATTTCCGAAGCGGGACCCGCAGGGAGGGAAAAGTGACTCTGTATCCATTCCCCCACCCCCCAGCCATCAGCTGCAGGGACGCAGGCAAGGGCCTTTGGCTGGAGCCTCGGGGAAACCTAGGCGTCATTATGTCTCTGGGCTGCCCTGAGACCCTGGGGCTAACTAAAAGAACCAGGAAGGGGGACAGGAGCGGTTAGCAAGCATAACATTATGCTTAAAGCCAGATGAAAACACATTTTAAAATAAAACAAAACAAAACACCAAAAGGCGAGGATGCAAACAGAACCCCTATTCCAGATACCTTGGGATCTCAGAGAAGGCATAAAAGAAAACCAAATGTCAAGGTAACTTGCAGTCTCTTCTCTGTTCTGACCACCCCACCCCCATTAGAGTGTTTTGAGAAGCCAACGAAAATACCGGAGAGATCGAGACATGGAGGGACAGAGACAAATCTTTTTCGCTCCTTTTTACTACTACTACTAGTAGTGTGGATTTAGTATTAGTAGTATTAATGTGTCTGTTCCCAACACTTTACCACCTCAAGTTGTGTTGAGGACTCCTGCCAAGCCAGCCCCATCTATCTGCCACCCACCCACTAGTATCCAAGAGTTATGCAGATGTTTATGGCTAGGGAAAAAATCCCAGTTAGGTATTCTTGTATTTTTAAATACTGACTGTAAGTGATTCAAGTATAATCCTTTGTAAAACGTTTTCTCTTTGACACATTGAAGGGACTGAGAGAGGAAAACCTGGCATGGATTCCTCTTCCCCGACCTCTCGCCCACCTCGCTCACCTCAGCCCCGCCAATGTCAAGGCCCTGGCTGTCCCTTGAAACCTGCACCTAGTCAGGGAAGGTGTCTGTGCTGGCTCCTCTCTGGGATCGACCCAATTTTAATCATGGTTGGGTGTAGACTCCCTGCGTGACCAATGCTGGGAGCTGTTTGGGAAGAAACTGTCTCCCCTTAAGGCTCTCCTCCCTCACTTTTGATAATGGGAGGCAGTCACAAAATTCAAAATTTTTAGGCATTTCGACTTGGTTCAAGGTGAATATGGGTCCTTTCTATCCTAGGGAACTGACAACCACACTCCTTCAGTGCAGGGGGTTTCACACGCCAGGCGCTGCTCAAAGATGAAAAGCCAGATGGTGACAGCCTAACAGAGATGAATTTAGGGAAGCAGGGAAGACAGAAAAACCTCAGAAGAGAAAAAGGGACTTTCTCAGTCTCTTCCCCAGTCACCTCTCTGGGAGGCTTGGACTCATACTCGGCAGTCCCTTTTGCCTCTCTGGATACTCCAGGGAAGGCTGTGCGCCTTTGGCAGAGCCCTCTGTGTTTAAAGGCCTTTTTCTCATTCCAGAGTTAAAAACGGAGACAGAGAATGTTGAGAACCGATATTAACAAGAGAGCAACAGATAGACTCTGGATGAAGACAAATAGCTCTAGGCTCTGAGCCACAAGAGAAAACCAAACGCTCAGACAGCAGATGTTTCCGCCTGGCACGTTGGAGGCCCATTTGTCCTAGAGAGGATGGTGACTGAACAGCACTGAGGTCAAGACGCTGTCCTAGGAGGACAAAGTCGGTTTTGAAAAGTGCCAGGTCTATCTCAACTTGAGCCTTTCAGCTTCATCTCCAGGGACCTAGGCTCTCTGGATGGTGAGAGGGCTGTCTAAAGCCCAAGTGGCACCCACAAGCCTAGCGCCCGAATGAACTAGAGCTAGAAGGGGAGCATAAAGCCCAAGTGGCACCCACAAGCCTAGCGCCCGAATGAACTAGAGCTAGGAGCAATCCTTAAAAGAAAGCGATGGAAAACTTTGAAAGTTGGAGAGAGAGAGAGAGAGAGAGAGAGAGAGAGAGAGAGAGGGGGGGG